ATATATATATATATATATATAATATATATATAAATCTTAAAACGTAAAAAAATAATAGAGTGCATCATCTTCAGGGGGTATACATGATAAAAAAAATAAAAAAATAAAGAAAATAAAGAAAATTTATCAGGTAAAAGAATAAAAGTTTTGGCAGTGGATATGGCAAGCGTGGCTTGGGCGCGAGCATCCTCCTCAATCCGTGAGAAAAACGCCCCTTTCTCGGGACCTGTGGTTGATTTTGAAGACCAGACCATGCATCACTTTATAAAGTTAAAATCACTGGGCAAAGGGGCGACGTCAATAGGGCAACCCAACACCCAAAGTAACGCTATCTCGCGGGTCACACCAGGTATGGGTGTTCCCACCTTGAGGGCATCTCTTTATTGTTTTTTGATTGCCTGCAGGAGAGTTGGAGGTGAGAAAAGATATTTCACGACATTGTCTTACCCCCTGGAGTGATATATATGTTTAGCGAAGTCAATCACTACAGGGTCTGGTATGGGATGCAAGAAACGGCAGTTACGCCGCCACACCCAGCCACTTGGAAGACACACCTCATAATCCCTGTTCTTGCCGCGGGCTATGGTGACCCCAACCTTGTCGTTGCATCATTACAAGGAATCGCTCAGAACCTGCCTGTCGTCGTTCCGCTTCTTATCTCTATCTTTTTTCTTCATGGCATTTCTACTCCTCAATTTCAGCTCGTCTTGAGGACATTTTTCCTTTTTCTGAATTCTGCAGTGAGTCTAGTTTCCTCGAAATATTGCAGCATGTGAAGGAAGTCAGGGTTAAGAGTATCTGCACTCATGTAATGTGGAGTTAACACTGCCGTTAACATGCAACAATGTGCACTAACGAGGAAATGCCTGCATTGAAACACCACACAATGCAGAGAAGAGCCGATGATTCCGTGAAATGCAGGAGTAAAGATGGCAGCTGACGATGGGTCCGACCAAGTTTGTCTGTCTGTTGCCCCAGGATTTTACCAAATTCACTGCGCCATGAGACTTCCAAAAACTGTCCCTATGAAGGTGGAAGCAAACACTTCGGGTTCTTTTAACCCCTAGGTTTATCAGAGATACAGAAAGGGATGCGTCCTTCCATGCCAGCTACCTTGGGACCTCTAAAGATGCGTGACATGTGCATGCATGAGTCAGAAAACAAAATGTCATGTCATACAATGTGAAATAATAGGTTATGCAAGCCGCGCATGTTGTATAGGTTTTACTGTAAAACTTACTGTTCAGTGGCACACCATATGCGTGCATGTGGGTGTTCGGCTGCGTGTGCGAGTGGTGGCGGGTGCACTCAAGGTCTATATATGTGCTTATATAGACCTAGGGTGTACTACCGAGAGAAAGGGATGCGTCCTTCCACGCCAGCTACCTTAGGACCTCTAACGATGCGTGAGTCAGAAAACAAAACATGGCTCCAACGTCATACAATGTGAAATAATGTTATGCAAGCCACGTATGTTGTACAGGAGACATAAGTGCAATAGGCATGGTTAATATATATGTAAATGATATACATGGTTTACATATTTTATTATATTACATATTATATTACATATGTTTACATATATGTTTTATATATTAATGGCACATATCCACACTATCATCACTTTTAAGCACTGATGAGCTACAATTGGTGGTGGACAAGATGCAATTGAAATCAGAGCTTCCCGACAGTTCGTTTGGTAGTCTAGCATGTCATGTTCTACATATTCTTCCGTGTCATATGACTGCTGAAATTATATCTATCCCAAATAAAATTATTACAAAAGAATGATCAAACTTGGTATATAGGCATGGATCAACTAAAGATTTTACAAAATTATCATCAATAAGACACTTGTGTAACAGATTTTACCAATTTCTACCACTCTCAATCCATACAATGATTTCTTCAATCTGCATACCAGTGTTTCACCTTTGCTACCTGTATTTGCAAATCCTGCAGGTTGCTCAATAAAATTTTCACAATCTATATCTGCATTAATATATGCTGACTTAACATCCATCTGATAAACATATTTTGAGTTACAATTTGCATCAACAGTTTTACTGAGGTTATGTTGTTGAAAACGTTTCCTTAAAATCTATATCTTTTAGTTGGGAATAACCTTTAGCTACATATCTTGCTTTGTATTTCTCCTAACTAGAATTACTTGCATCAGTTTTTATTGAATAAATCCACCTTCCTCCCACAACTGCTTTAACCTTAGAAACTGGTATTAGTCCATATGCGTCATTCTCTTCAAGAACTTCCATTGCCTTTTTCCAATGTTCTAAATTTGTTAAAGATATTGCTTCTTCATACGTCACTGGAATTCCAAGCATCTTGCTGTGTCCATGGCTTCTACATCATCACCTACAACAGAATCTTGAAGGTGTTTTGGTGGTTTACGGGTTCTGCTCGGGTATCTTACAAGTTCTTCAACTGCGTCATCTTCATGGTTTGTATTGTCTTTTGCGTCTTGTTTCTCTTCTCCCTTTATTGTGGCGGATTCTTGTTTTTCAAACACGAGTTCTTCTCAGAAGTCCTCCTTCCTGTAGTATTCTTTCTTGCGTGTTTGTCTTCAAGAATTTCACACATTCCTTCCTTCATTACTTCTCTTTCAGGTATATGCACTAGGTAAGCAGGGCTTTCTCTATCATAACACGTAAATATTCCTTTTTCACTTCTTGCATCCAACTTATTTCTATGCCATTGATACGCCTAACATGTTTCATCAAATATATGGAGATTTCTAAAGTTGCGTCTTCTTCCAGTCAGCGTCTCAAATGGGGTTTTATTTGTGTTAGTGTTAAAGCACCTGTTCCTTGTGTAAGTTGAAGTCTTGGGTGCATAAGGCCACAATTGCTTTGGCAAATCAGCTTCTATCAGCAGAGTTTGCCATGTCGAAGAGTCCCCTACGGCCTCTCAGCTGTCCCTTTCTGGTAGGGTGAATAGGGAGCGGAAAACTGTATTGTCTTGCTTTTCGCCATCAGTGATCGGAAGTTGCTTGACTTGTATTCTGTACCATTGTCTGTTCGTAGACGTTTCACTATAACAAAAGAACTATTATCTGCTAGAAAATTCTCTGTAGTCTTTAATGTATCACTTTTCTCACCCCAAAAAATTATAACGAGTGATTATTTACAAATATGACTGCAAATCTATATCCATCTTTACCTACATTTATAGGACCTGTTAAATCAGTGTACACTCATCAGGATTTCTACTTCTATATTAAATCATTCGTCGGGTACATTTCAGTCCAAATTTCCTATTAGAAATGTGCATTGCATCTGCTACACATTCTAACTTCTAACATCTTTCACGTTGCAATGTCCTGGGATTTTATACCATTCATCTGCAGTATAGCTCACACTTTATTACTTTGACTGCATTTATAATTTTCTTTTCCTCTACACTATATAGATAGTACAATTTTCCTTTAAATTCAATTTTAAATACTGTACCTTCTGGGACTTTATGCTTTGCATATTCAGGATCAAAAGTTACACTTACACCTTTGTGTTGCTGTTTGAACTTACACAATAATTCGCTTGTAGGAAGGCACATTTAAGGCATCTTTCAATGTTATCTTAAATGATCTACCCTTTTTATTATGTAGTTTACCACGTGCATCGCCTCAACCTTGCACTACACCTGTGGCTCTACTTCCATTAGCTAATTCCATTGCATGATTCTTTGGATTAACATCACCTTCAGGCCTAAAGAACATCTCTTTTTCTGTAATAATGTGTGACATTGCACCACAATAGACTAGTAAACACTTTCCTTCCTTACATTTCGGGTTCATTAACACTTACGCAAAAAAAAAAAAAAAAAAATTCATCGCTATCGCTGCATGCTTTTTTGGCTGCGTCCGGATATCTTGATAAATTTTCTCTTCTATAACCTTTTCTGTTGTTACGGCACTGTCGTGTAATGGATTGGTTTTCTACAGACTGAGCACCATCTTCTGCTGCTTCTTTCTTGGGGTTTCGTGCTTCTGCAATCATAAACATATGTCTTGGTTTACCATAGTAGCACATCATTACAGGATTTTTGTTTGTCCTTCATTTTCATTGCTTTCACCTCTATCTTGAGTTGTGCATGACTTCTCTGACTCTTCAAACGCACGTAATTCCGTCTTGAATTGGGAAAAATGTCAGTGTCTTCTGACCTATTACAGCACGAAACATCTTGAATTTTTGAGGTAGTCCCTTCAAAATCATTGCTATTAGCAGACTATCACTTATTTGCTCACCTGCTGTCTTGAGTGAAGTTGCTGCTGTTTCTGCTTTCTGTATATAGTCTATCACTGTCTCCATCTTCTGCCGTCTTCAGTTATGTCAGCTGTGTGTACACAGCGAAAGTATTCTTGGCATACTCTTACCTAAATAATGGCCTTGCAGGACCTCAATTGCTTTCTTACCATCGTTTTTGGCGTCTCTTATGATCAATGAGTGGCTTCTGTCATCCAGCACTTGTACTAAATCACGGGAATACTAATTAAGGCGGCCGCACTACGTATACCAAGGAAAGTATTACAGAATTCTTGACTAGCGTTCGTCCACAAACCTTGTTGTCTCGAATGTAAACAATACTGTGAACTTCCTGAGAAGTATGCCGAAATACCCACTAAGAAAGGGGGTCTGGGGCTTGCCCCCGTTAGGGTAATATCCCCAGGCAGAACATGTGAGGATAAAATAAAATTCTCAACTCCGTGCTTAGTTTGTTGTTGTTCCTCCTCCAGTCGTTCAACATTCTGCCACCAGGGGCGCTCAGAACACAGGTATCATAAATATAATGTGTATAAAACTTGAACTAAAATACATCTTTGTATAAAGTAAATATTTCTCTTCTATAACTATATATTACTGTACAATTCACATTATCATCTTTACATATTGATATTTATAATATGGGATAATGACTGAAGTTTACTCTTATCCTAGCACTTACAATAAGTGACTAATTTTAATGAACATCATACTTCTCTCATTTTTTCTTTTAGAAATATATTACCAAGGCAGAGCCTATTGAAGCAGGAGAAATTGGTCGGATATATTTCTATGATAATCAAGAATTGCTCTCCAGCCCGTTTGTCTGTGAGCTCCTCCAAAAAACCAAGTAAATATTTGGCCAACATGAGTGATGTTGAAGTCGAATTTGTATATATCATTCAGTTGCAGCTGTTTGATGCCGGCATGTATACGCAAGATCCCGCATATGTAAGCATCCTCCACCCATAAGAAAGGTTCCACCTTGGATGCTTCCAGAAGACGAGGAATTTGCTTGGTCTGTAGAATCCACATGCCTCCCGAGCAATAATATGGGTATTCCGATGCAGGGTATTCTGCTAAGTCTACGCTCCACCTGCCTTCCCTTAAAACCTTACCACCAGTCATAATGTTACATAGGAATTTATCTTTTGAGTTGGCATCTACACTCTGCAGCACCTTGGCCCAGCCGAACACGTCGATGATAATGTCGTCATCAGAGTGCAGAGTCCAAGGCACCTGCTGACAGCGCTGCGCAACCCAGCTGAGAGACGCCAAGGACTTGTATGTGAGAAGTCTGTAATCGTCCTCGTGATCCATCTGATGAGTAGAGCACACATGAAGTCATTAGTCTCATGCTCTATGATCGCAAAATACTCACTGAATAATTAAATCAGCTAAAAAGCTCCCATGAATTATTTATACAGAGCGATTTTTGTTTTAATAGAGAAGGAAAAATATTCTATAGACATGAGAACCAAAGCACAGTGAGGCATACAGCTGTGGTTGGTTATATTGAAATGCAATGAGATACTGTATATATTGTCGGCATTAGTACGTCCAGGAAATGAACTTAAAAATGTGAAAGCAATATTCTAATCTGGCCACGGTTGGATACACCATGCAGTAGTCATTGATGAAATAATACAACTTTTTTTTCATAATCCATGCGGAATACATGCTGTAACAGCAGATGAGGAAAGCACATAAAAAGGTATATTTGCTCAAGAAAAATAGATACATCGTACATTTCAACAGTCACCATATGTCTTATCATGATAATGTCCCAATGAAGCTTTCCTGTAAGTTAAACATTTTAAGTAAATGTACTAAAATTTCCATTTTGGTTTTTCCTTTCATGGTCTTTCATGGTTATGGATTATGGTCTTTCTCTTACTCGGTCTGAGTGTTTTGCCTGCCCTGTCCGCCACGATGCAAATCCTGCTCCTGACGTCACGGCAAAAAAGTTAGTACGTGTATATATATATATATATATATATATATATATATATTATATATATATATATATATACACACACACACACACACACACACACACACACACACACACACACACACACACACACACATACATATATATATATATATATATATATATATATATATATATATATATATATATTGTATGTGTATGTGTGTATTTATGTGTGTGTACACACACACACAAACACACACACAAACACACACACACCCACACAAACACACACACACACACACACACACACACACACACACCAAGGTCCAATCTGGTGATCCACATGCATACACCATGTTTGTTTTGTATTGTGTAAACATCAATCTTTCTGAAGAATCCAACTTATAAAAAGTCAGTTAGCCTTTCTAATAGACGAATATAAATATCGATATTTTCTATAACAAATCCCATATGTATTTCCTAAATATCTCGAGTACTTTGCATCCATTGCCAGGTATAATGTGTAGGATATAACCCCATTTTGAGAAGTAGCGTTAGGTAGCAAAGTTAGCTTCATCAGCTCTAGTATGTTGGATGCTTGATTCTCATACCTGGATGATGTCGTGGTACCGCTGACTTTCCTCTCGCACAATCTTGGCCTCTTCTTCGGTCTTGGCTCGCCCCACTACAAACACGGTTGCCATCTTGAGGGCAAAACCCTGTGCCGTGGCGTTGGCCCACGTGGTGCGGGTGGCATTTCTCTCGGCGACGTTGCTGATGGCTGAAGACACGTATGCTATGATGTCCAGATTGGGATGTTGCTTTGTGCAGAAATCTATCTCGTCTACTAAAAACTTGTCTGGAATTTTGGTACGAGGTGGAGCTGTAATGACATTCCTCTCCTCTTTCTCAGTAACTTTTCCTTGTCCAGCTGTCTCCTCCCCCCCTGGAATTTGATTTTGACTGGCGATTCTCTCTACCAGAACACCTGTGTCTGCCATCTGTTGGAAAAATATACTAATCAACTCGCCAATCCTTAGCTAGAGGGAAAGGTGAAGTTGACCCTAGACTACACTTTTGGCCTGTCACCTTTGGAATGCTTAAGAATTATCTCATACACCTAAGACACCTAGGGCATTCCTTGTTTGTGTTTCAGGATTTGACTCTGAAGTGCAGACTGAATCAAGGCAAATCAGGTTAAGATCTTAAGATTATAAATACAAATAAAAATACCCAAAACTAAATGGTTTACTACTTCACTTGCTAGTAACATGTGCTAGTCAAATTAGCCAAGTGCACTCAATATGTTTTTATTTCAATTACTTGAAAATACCAGCTGAAATTTTGATCTTTGCGATGTATATTACAGTTTCCTTTTTGATATAATATATTCATAATGTTGGATAGGAATGAGTATAATAAAGTATAAAATCCGTGTATGATGACTGCACGTACTAGTATGTCCATTTAGCATCATGGCATCTGCTGTTTGCAAGGAATCTAGGGTGATTATATTGTATCCTTGACACAAATATTTGCCCAACCCTGATTTCTCATCCCGGTTGGTCTGGCGTTACCTTGGAAAAGAACATTTGATAGAACATCCCTAACATGAAGGCCACAGAGAACAATCCTATTCGCTGCAAATTGTATCGCGCCAAGCCTGCAAATGGAAAAGAAAACTCTGCAAAATTGGACGTCGAATTTTTCAAACAGTCCTACAGCACAGTGTGTCTGTATACATTATTTATACGTTTTTTTTTTTCAAGAGGAGAGGATCCTCTTACCTCGCATTCTTATTTCTTCCTGCTATCTAGTGGTTGCTTGTCTTGACGCACCTGTACTTCTTCCCCGCTTGCCTCTTCTTGCGTTTTATTACAACACTTATATTTTGGTGGTAGATCTGCAAGATAGATAATTAAGATTTGAAATGAGTCTCCGCTCAAAGATCAGATCATTTTAAAAATGAGATACAAATACAGACACATATTAGGTGTATAATAGCTTTGTTTGACCTCTGTTTGGCTTTTTACTTCACTTTCTTAACTATTGTTAATACTCGCATATCCCCCCCCCCCCCGACACACAGGGACAGGTGGAGAGTAATAGCTGTAAACGTCTTGCAATATAAAATTATAATGAAAGCACGATACGAGAGACGACATTGCTGGAGCGTCGGTCCAGCCCAAGGTCTATGCAAGTACAGGTCTCGTCACTTCGGAGTTCTGCGCAGCTTTAGGTGACAAGCTTAGATATGATATAACAAAGAAGTGAAATAAACAAAGACATGGCAAATTTAAACCAAACGTTTTTGACGAATCTATTATAAAACAAATACAACCAATGCATTGCTTAAAATCAAAGACAAGTACAGTATATATATAATATATATATATATATATATATATATATATATATATATATATATATATATATATATATATTATATATATTATATATAATATATATATATTATATATATATATATATATATATATATATATATATATATATATATATATATATATATATATAATGATGGGCGATCACAAATATTGCAACCAACCCCTTAATAAGTACTGGGCATTGTGGCTTTGAGTGGGCCAGTCAGTCAAGCGAGCGAAAACGGAGAGAGGGAGATCCTTAAGACTCTACCTCACATCCAAGAATGACCACACGATTGGCGTCGAACCCCCAGGCTTCTACGCCTCGTGACGTCATACGCGAGACGGACGAATTTAAGTCGCTTAGTGACGAGACCTGTACTTATATAAACCTTGGTCCAGCCAGCCCTGGGGAGGTCCGGAGCGGTAGGTCTTGACGGTCATCGGAGATCTCGTCAAGGACCTTCTCGGTTCGTGCTCGTCCAGATGTCCTCATGCCTGCGCTGACGCGCTCCTGGTTTTGACTGGATCTATGGGCGGTGGTCTTCCACAGCATCCTGGGGCGACTGTTCCTTGCACTGACAAGGTGCTGGTTCTTTGCTGAATCTACGGGCTGGCGGCGCCCTTCTACTACATCCTGGGGCGGCCTAATGCCTGCGCTGATAAACTCCTAGTCTGCAGACCTACGGTGACATCCTCCTACAGCATCTGTACCAAGGTCCTCCTTTGAAGCCATGTCGAAAAACCACAATCCAATGTTTTGTCAGTGAATCAGATAATAAACGTAAGGGCCAAGATAGGAAGAGAAAAAGAAAGGCAATAGAGAGTGCGTTACATCCGTTTTTTTTTTTTATAGAAATTTTCGGTTTTTAATGTTCGTTTTTTTTATCTATTTTCGTTTTTTTCACTTTAGTATTTTTCAAGAGGATCAAGAGGAAAATAAGATAGAGACGCATAGTAGCAGTCTGCAATTACCTACTCGAGCTACAGACCATCTCACATAGATAAAGCGTAGATAAGCGAAACGACAAAGACTATTCACAAGGATCTGCTTGGTCCAGTTGTCGTCTCATAGAGAAGGAAAAATATGCAAATAGGAGTTGTGCATCATTGTCACTCGTCACGACTGAAAGTGAAAGTGAGCTCACTCAAAGAATGATACACAAACATATACATACACACACCCACACCCACACCCACACCCACCACACACACATATATATATATATATATATATATATATATATATATATATATTATATATATATATATATATGGGAGGGTGCTTCATGCGCAGGGTGGTGTGAAGTGATGGAGTGGTTAGTGTTAAGAGCTTTTGCATGCCTTCTCGCTTACAGCTGCCACCACTGGCTAGCCTAGTGCTAAAAAGGGAGCAGCACGGCATAAGCCTCCCCTACCAGTGCATAGCCTCTCCATCATCGAGACTCCCTGCAGTGCCACCTCGTGGCCTTCCATGGAAACTGGGTACCTTGCGGTTCCAGGCTAAACTGAGGGGGATCTCGAAGCAGCAGGAGGCCCCAGAGATTCAGGGTCATGGCCCACCGGCGTGTGGACACACTCTGGCCCTGTACCAACTCCTGCCCCCAAACCCCCTGGGTTTAATGGGAGGCTCGGGGGAGGTGGGCCTTGCCAGTCCTCCTCCCCCCAGTTATAACCAATCGACAGTGACCTATGTAAATGGAAAGGCTGGGAGGAGGGAAAAGTCCCTCCCACCCAGCAATTGAGGCCGACTGTGGGCCCTGCTGGGAGGGCGGCTGCTGGAGTGCAGGCTGGGAACGGGAACTACTCGTCTCACCTGCGCTCTGGTGGCTGCCAGCCCAGAGTGAAGCTTATGGGGGAAAGCCCTCGGGAACCCCACAGGTGGATGATGGGGCACGCAGCCCGCCACCCCATTTTATTTGGGGCAGCGTTGATGGGGGTGGCAGAGGTGGCATCCACCCAGAGTGACTGCCAGAGGCTGAACCTCTGGCGGGAAGTCAGGGTGGGGGCTTGGAACATCCGTTCTTTGCGTCAAGATGATCGGTTGCCTCTGCTGTCGAGGGAACTGGGGAGGCTGAGAGATGAGGTGGCTGCTCTCTTGGAGGTGAGGAGGCCAGGCAGCAGCATGACCAGTGTAGGTGGCTACACCTATTACTGGTCGGGCCGCAGCAACGGCCACCATCTCCAGGGAGTAGCCATTGCCATCTCCAGCAGACTCCAGCCCTCGGTAGTAGAAGTTACTCCTGTTGATGAGTGTATAATGGTATTGAGATTGAAGCTATCTTTTGGCTTCATGTCTCTTATGTACCATTATTATCGGTAGGAGCTACCGATGTTTGTAAACGACGCGAAAGAGATGTTCTACGCTAAACTTACATCTGTGGTAGACAGATGTCCCCGGCGAGATATTCGCATTGTTCTGGGTGACTTCAATGCGGTATCTGGCTGTGATCGAGCTGGCTATGAGATGTCTGTTGGTCCCCATGGTTCAGGAGCTGATGCCGGTAGTGAGAATAGCCTCCTTTTCCAGGACTTTGCTAGGTCCCAGAAATTGAGGATTTCTGGCTCCTGGTACCAGTGCCCAGACCCACATCGCTGGACATGGTACAGTGATGCGGGTAATGCAGCCAAGGAGATTGATCACATACTCGTTAGCACTCGCTGGAGGATCCTCCAGAATTGCAGGGTGTACAGGAATGCTGAGTTCTGTGGTACTGACCATAGACTGGTTGTGGCTACCCTCCGGGTCCACTTCAAAACTCTCCAGCGGTCAAATGATCACCCTAGGGTGTTTCATTTGGACAGGCTGAGGGAGGGGGAGTGTGCCAGTGGGTTTGCTGAGTTTCGCAGTGCTCGACAGTCTGACAGACCCTGTTCTTCTGTGGGATACCTTCAAGCGTGAAACGATGCAGCTCAAGATAAGACTGGTGTACGCCCGAGAGCAGTACAGAATTCCATCTCGCAGGAGACACTGGAAGCCACAGATGCATGTCATGCGGCTCGTCTGACAGGGGATCGGGAATTGCTCCGTTCTCATGTGCACAGAACTCGGTCTCTGTTAAGAAGGGACAAGGAACAATTTATTAGGAGTCTTGCAGAGGAAGTAGAAGGCCATTTCTTAGTAAGTGACCTTCGTCCTGCATACCAAGCCCTGAGAAAGCTGAACTCCAAGCCCTCTTCACAGGTGACAGCAGTTCGCTTAGTAAGTGGTCAGATCGTTTCAGATCCTGTTGCAGTGCGGGAACGTTGGGCTGAGTATTTTGAGCAATTGTACCAGGTTGACACACCAACAGTTGACTTGGATGCGGGTAGTGTCGAGATCCCGCTGCCGGATCCACCCATCAGTGAGGACCCTCCCTCCCTAACTGAAGTTAGGGGAGCGATTTCCAAGCTGAAGAGTGGTAAAGCAGCAGGTATCTGCGGCATACCAGCTGAACTGTTAAAGGCTGGTGGTGAACCTATGGCACGGGGGTTACATGTCCTGGCTGCCATCTGGCGGTCCGGTACCGTTTCTCCTGACCTGTTGAGGGGTGTGGTCATCCCTCTCTGGAAAGGGAATGGGGACCGTTAGGACTGCAGCAATCACCGAGGCATCACACTGCTCAGTATAACAGGCAAGGTTCTCGCCCAAATCCTTCTGAGACGTATCAGAGACCATCTACTGAGGCACCAGAGACTGGAAGAATCCGGATTCACTCCTAGTAAGTCCACAATAGACCGTATCCTCGCGCTTCGAGTCATTGTAGAGCGCCGTCGTGAGTTCGGGCGTGGGCTGCTTGCAGCCTACATCGACCTCAAGAAGGCGTTTGATACGGTGCATCGGGAGTCACTTTGGGAGATCCTGAGAATGAGAGGAATTCCAACAAGGATTATTGGACTAATAGCAAGCCTGTATACTGGTACTGAAAGTACTGTAAAGTGTAGTGGGGGCCTGTCGAGCTTCTTTCCTGTTAATTCAGGAGTGAGGCAAGGTTGTGTCCTTGCGCCAACTCTTTTCAACACTTGCATGGACTGGATACTGGGCAGAGCTACTGTTCAAAGTCATTGTGGAGCAATACTGGGCAATATCAAGGTTACAGACCTTGACTTT